GTACCAATAGGGTGGCCGAGTGATGCTAGACTTGAGTATTAGGAAATTCTATGTAATTATATGTATTTAGTTTCAAGTACTAGCGTAACTGCTTAAGGTTAAAAAAAAAAAAAAAAAAAAAAATACATTTTTTAATCAAATATAAAAAATCTAATATAAAAAAATATAAAAATAGAAAAAAAGACTAATATAATAAAAACAAATAAAAAAAAGTACTTGAGCAAGAGAAAAGTTAAAAAAAAGATAAAATATTCAAAGAAAAAAAAAAACAATAAAAATAAAAAAATAAATTAAATAAAAAAAAGAAACTTAAAAAATAATTAATATGTTTGTTACAAAAGAAAAAAAGTTCTTTTGGTATAACTTTAAATAATTAGATGAGCAATTTATCTCTAACTAAAATAAAACAAGTTGCACTTAAGTACCATTAAGGTGATCAAGTAATGCTAGACTTAAGTATTAGAAAATTCTATGTAATTATATATATATATAGTTTCAAAAATCTTAATAAAGTACTAGTATAACTGTTTAAGATTAAAAAATATATATATATATATGCATCATGGTTATCACAAAACATAAATACCCTTAACATCAAAAAAAAACAAAAAAAACAAAACATAAATATTATAATAACTAACATCAAAGCATCTTCAAATACCTTTTCCTTAGAGCAAAACCTTTGCTTTTTTTTAAAAAAAATATTATACTTAAAATAAATTGTATTTTTATTTATTTTTGAAAATATATGATCTCTAGGGCTTACAATGGTTTCCAGTTCCTAGTATTAATACAAATTCTGGTTTATTCGTGGATTATCAATTAAGTTACATTTTCTCTGGGCGATATGTGAACGACTGCACGACCTGGTCTTATATGGAACGTATATCGATATTGCTTTGTAATTATATATATTAAATAAAATAGAGTCGTGTAATAGAAAAATTTTAGGACAGATATGATGACACGAGTCACTATTCCGACCCGGATAATAGCTCTACTATATTATAGGATTGTCACAGTTGTTTGGTTAGAAAGCAGTGTACGATCGATGCAAATTTAGCTACGATAATAAAAAAGGTATGATTGTACGAATATTATTTTTTAGTGTTCCAAATAGGTTGTTCTGGATTGGTCATACAGACTATGTTAACACCAGTTTGTAATATAATGTTCGATTATGCATATTCTTTTATCGTTATTAAATCAAATTTTACAATAAACCGAGAAAATATAATATAGCCGTTAGAATCGGTTAGAATCGGATAACTGAATAAGCATCTTCCTATTTATTAAAGGAATATAAATCAGGAATGTCTATCTAGACATCCGATTAAATATTCGGATCCAAACACTAAATGAACCCAATCTATGGTAAAAAAAAAAAATAGAGAATATATATATTAATAATTGTCCTTAATATATAACAATAATATGGATGACCATAACAACCTTATTAGCAACATCTAAAGCATCCACATCAGCAGTAAGGCGAACATATGCTTTTTTGGTTCCATCAGGTCTAAATGGAAAAATTACATGACATGATGAATGTCACTGTATGAGATGTATGAATAATGGTGCTATAAAGTACACATACCTTATCAAGGTGTTAATTTTTTGAGCATCAACATCATACAACTTTTTAACTGCCTCTTTGATTTGACGCTTGTTGGCTTGGACATCAACAATGAAAACGAGTGTATTTGTATCCTCAATTTTCTTCATTGCGGATTCTGTATTTAGGGGATTCTTCAGAATCCTGTATTGATCCATACGGGATGTATGAGGGATAGATTTACGCACATATCTGGGGCTTCGTGATAGCCGAAGGGTTTTTGGTCGGCGAAATGTTGTTGAGGTACGGATCTTTTTTTTTGCTTTCTCATGAACTCCCTTTGTAATAGCTTTTTTGGCAGTAAGTGCTTTGACCTTTTCTTTAGATTTTCCTTTGGTTTTTTCCTTAGAGCCAACCTTACTTGTTTCAGCGGCTTGCGTGACAGTAGTCTTTTTAGATTTGTCTGTTGCAATTCGATTAAAAATTTGAATATATAAATAAATCATCCATCCTTTCATTGGCATATGTACAAGGTTAACCGAAGTGAATTTCTTAATCAAATGCACTTGCCAATTTTTGCGGGAGCCATTGCAAAAAACTATGACCATCGAAGAGGAAGAATCGGATTTTTTTTTAAAAGACGAGATATTTATCTGATAACATTGGCCAATAAGAGATCGTAGATTTAGTGCCACATAAAAAAAAACTGCCTGATACAAATCTTAGTTATCATCATTATGTCTTCTCTCGGACCTAACAATTTTGCCAATGACGGTAGTGCCGTTATAGAGCGAACAATTGAAGTTCGTGGCAAAAAGCTGGCGAAATCGAAGGAAGAATTGGAGTATATTTATGAAATCGAGCGTACCGTGGAAATGATTTTGAGTGGAGGTTATGAAAGAGTAGGTGATGTGTACTTTTTAGTAGTATAATAAATGTTGACCATTCTTAATTATAGATCGCTCTTCAATTCCCGGACGAGCTATTAGCTGATTCAGCCGAAGTTGCAACCGTATTGCGCGATCGAACCCAGAAAAAGATCTTTATTTTAGCTGACACTTCTTATGGCAGGTAACATTCTTCCAGCTTTTTTATCTTTAAAAATGTACATTTTTATTGATGCTTTATTCACCATAGCTGTTGCGTTGACGAAGTTGCTGCTCAACATGCTAGTGCTGAATGTATTGTCCATTATGGCCGTTCGTGTTTAAGCCCGTAAGAAGCAATATGTTTATTTTGTCTCTTTTGACACGCTGGAACCGCATTTTTCTTAATTTGGAACAGTACTTCTCGCCTATCTGTCCTATATGTGTTCGGTAAACACCCAATAGACATTGATCATTGTTTAGAAGTATTCGATTACTTGTTTGATCATAATAGCACTATAAAAATAATCATCATGTATGATGTAGTATATTCTTATTGCATCGGTGAGTATTTGTCATTTGTTCATTGATCTCCAGTTTTTCAAAGTAAATGCGTTGCTTCACCTTCTCTTTATCAGACAAATTCGTACACGATGTGCGAAAAATTTTGAAGTACACAAATGTTATTCAATCTTTCGTCAAGACGGACTGTAATATATCACAAGGATTAAAAGGTAAAATAAAGAAAGTGGTAAAGGTAACCACGCCAACTGTTGATTTCATTATTTATTTCTTAATTATTGGTAGATATGAATAGTCCTCAACTCAACGGAAGATATTATAAACTTTTTGAGGAAACAAGCATTGAATCTTATACGATTTTTTATATTGGTGAAGAAAGTGCAACACTAGTAAACGTCTTACTGACATACAATAAGTGTAAGGTACGTGACAACCTTTATACTCACATATAGAGGTATATATGTTGTCTTATAATTTAGAATTTTGTGTTGTAAGGTCTATTCATACAATCCTGAAACGCGAATAGGGCGCCAAGAGACACTGCCGAAAAATAAATCTTTGATGAGACGGTAAGTTTTTTCATGTTATTCTCATTTCATTGCTATAATTTTTTAAAAAATATTCTTTATAAAATTTTCTATATTCAGCTTTTACATGGTTCAAAAAGCTAAAGATGCAGACGTCATTGGCATAGTGGTGGGTACTTTAGGTGTAGGTAAAGTATCATGAGTCCAGAACGAGTAATAAGTCATGATATATCTGATGTGATACACGATAGGGGTCCGCAAGCTGGGCTCGTGCTTGTACCTAACAAAAATCTAGGATAGGTATGGCATGAAAACTCAGGCATAGGCATAGGCAAAGGCAACTCATACAGGGGGGTCACCAAAATTCCGGATCAGAATACCTCAGAATCATGATCAGCAGGCCGGAATTAACTAATTTTGCCCAAGAGCACTAAAGTTTTACTAATGAAGTCATGGCCCAGTTATTAAGTAAAGTTGCAAACTGATAATTTTTGCCCAAAAATGGTTGACTTGTATTGCTAAATGCTGGTCTAAATCCGATGAATCCGACCAGAAATTTGGTAATCCCCCTGGGTACAAAATTTCAGGCATGGACATGAACCTGAGCACAAAATTTTTACATAGACATAGGCACAGGCGAGTGCATCTATTAGCGCAACAGCATCAATCAACACGTGATTACCGATTTTTTAAGAATTAGGGTTAGTGTATCCGTATTAAGGTTAGGGTTAGGATTTATAAGTAAATTCGCCTTCACGACACTTTTAATTATTTTAATTAGTGCTACATGATAGGTTTAGACTGTCGTCTCCTATATTTTTTGCTTTTTTTACTTTGTTTTGCTTCGTCGGGATGATCAAAATTTCTCTATTTGATTGGTCAAACGCTACGTGCTGTTGCGCAAATAGATTCACTCAACACAGGCAGTGTTGTCATGGGACAAGTCCCGGACAATTAAGAACGGCCTTGTTAACCAATCATGTTGTTCGATAAACCATATGATATGAGACACTATCACGAACATGGGACATTGTTCCGGATCGTCCGTGTCCCTTTAATTTGGACGGGACAACGTCCGTGGGCACAGGCACAAAAATCTGGTATCTTTTATTTGATTGTGCCTGGCACTTTTGCCCATGACTTTAATGATGCCTGGCACTTTATGCCATGCCTTTAATAGTGCCTGGCACTTTTATGCCTATAGGCATGGGCATAAGCACTAGTGCCCGGTCTGGTGCCAATGTGCTAGGCATGAGCATTTGCAGACCCCTAATACATGAATGTGTGACAGGTAGTGTTAATGGAGTACTTCAAACTATAATAAAACATATAAACCACTCCAGTTTAAATTGGTGGTTTATATGTTTTAATATAGTTTGGAGTAATTCGTAAACAACCCTAGTGACTGGTATAAAACTCAGTTTTTATTAAAAATGCATCAAACCGGAATTTTGATTTTGCTTGCATGGAAACAGAGTCCTTTGTTTCACCCCGGACCACTGTCTTAATGCAATCTTCCCTATTTTATATTACAAATTGACACAAATTCACACCTTTCATTAGCATGTTATTTAGAAATAATCTCTCATCTCAGAAGGGTAATTATTCGTGCAGGAAAAAAGCCTTACACATTCGTGATGGGCAAACTCAACGTGGCAAAGATGGCAAATTTTATGGAAATCGATTGCTTTGTACTCGTAGCTTGTCCAGAAAATAGTTTACTTGATTCGAAGGTTTTTCAATTCATAAAATTGGTTATTTGTTTTTATGTTGTCAGCGATAATATGTAAGTTTATAAATTTGAACTTCATATTTCAGGAATTTTATCGTCCAATTGTCACACCTTTTGAATTAGAAATTGCATTGAATTCGTAAGTTAATTACTTTGAGATTCATAAAGCGTTGTCAATTACTGAGATGTTACTTAACTTAGGTCGAAGCAATGGACCGGAGAATATATTACGGATTTTCAGCAATTACTATCTGGTGGGTAGCTGATATAACGTAATACATATCGAAAAACTATAGAATTATTATTATTATTATATTATTATTATTATTATTATTATTAGATGCAACCATCGATGAACCCTATTTTCAGCCCGAAAATGAGGACGAACCACATTTCTCTTTGGTCACAGGCAAATTTAAACAAAGAAAATACCTAATTAATAATTCATCACAATGTAATTTGAGAGGTTCATGCCATATGATTTTATCAACCTTCAAAATTTAATTAGTGTTTAATTAACAGACGATCCCACAAATAATGTTACTGATTTAATGTTGCGCAATCAACACACATCAATTTCTACGGCGTCGGATAGCGTTGCCGGAGAATATCTAAATTCTCGAACATTTCGAGGATTGGAACCAAACATTGGTGAGACCGCAGTACAAATTGCTGAAGAAGGCCGAACTGGTATTGCTAGAGGATATGCGGACGAACGGAACTTGGAACTAGTGGAGGTTGGAATCGAATATTCGAATCAATTCGTATGAATTTGGGTATTCAAAACCATTATATTGCCTTTACATAATCATTACAAAACCATTATTATAAAATGTTATGAGATTAGCAATCATTTTTAGCCGTTATACAATTATATAACCATTATATTACTGTTATACTGTTAAACTATAAAGTTTGAAATTAAGTATATTCAAGTTGATAGACGTCAATGAAATGATAACTAAGCAAGGATATGTTCAAAGCAATCTGGTTAGACTTAAGTGTTCAAATTCTATTTATGATGAAATTTGAAAATTATACTTGTATTATGGTAAATTATTTTTTGATCAGTTGGATTAACACATCTGTAATTTTAGATACACTAATTCAAATAGGAGTTCAAGGCATTTATGTAATGTGTAATATTATATATATATAGAAGAATGTTAAAACTAGTATTGTATAAGATTTTGATACAAACATACAATAAAATTATTGGGTATATTAGATTAAAAAACTGGAAAAACAGAATTTTATTTGAAATCTTAAATAAAAAGATAGCATAAATTTTTAATGATATTTTAAATTGATTAAAGGTTTAGAAGAAATAGGCAGATAACTAAATGACAAATACAAATAAAAAAATATATAATTGAGTTGTTAGAATTTGTTAAAATAAAAAGATTTTAGGAATAGAGTTCTGTAGTCTAATGGTTTAGACATCTTTCTTTTACAGATAAGGTCAACAGTTCAATTCTAGTTGAAGGCAAAAACTGTAATTTACAGAAGCATATAAATGTATGTAAAGTCCTGTGGCTTAAGTTCATATAAATAAAAGATTAGTATATAAGAAAGTTTCTGAAAAGAAGTTTTCTAATATAAAGAGTTGGTACTCAATATGAAAAAAGCAATGAACATATCAAAAATAAAGAAGGTGCATTAGTAAATAATATGATAAATATAAAAGAAAACTATATAAAAGAAATGAACTTACTAAAATTTAAACACCTTTAACACTAATACTGGTTTTAGTAAATACAGAATATACTAAAGTTGGATAAATCTAAAAAGTAATCTTAGTATTATATTTAGTAAGTCTGTATTAAGAATAAATTCAAAATACTATAAATACTTAGTAAAATCTAATAAGATAGTACTTAAATATAAATAATAATTAAATAACCCTAATCTAATATGTCACTATAATAGTAATGTAAGTATTGTATATATATACAAAAATAGTATTAAAAATCAGAAAATTTAAATAGAAAACTTACAGGTAGGTCTTAGATATAGCATTTAGTAGATAACCTATGGGCAAAACTCTTAATTAGATAGTGACTAAAGTTATATATGTGATTAATTGTACTTTTGTTAATAGACTATGTGTATTATATATAATTATATATGTATTACTTAATAAAAAACATACAGATAAGATTGCTATTTCAAATTAAAAAAAAATAAAAAGATTTTTAATTATATATAAAAATTTGAAAACAAGTTTATTAGATTATTCAAATTAGTAATTTGAAGATTCTTATTAGTTTAAAGTAAAAAAAAAATATTAAAAAGATAGTTATCAGAGTTTTAGTAAACTTTATAAAAATAAAAATAATATAATAGTAACAGTTTAATAAAATATTTGTTTTTTTTTTTTTTTTTTTTTAGTTAAAGTTTCTATCTTGGGAGTTGCGATGTTTTTATTCAAGTATATTAGGACACAGCATGCCACCAAGGGCTCACCTTACATTGG